ATTTAGGAAGGAAAAGTACACACTCAAGAGGGGTGTGAGGATAGGTACTGCAGAAGGGAAAGAAACTGCTCAAAAGGTAAGAACAACTGGGAAGGGGGAAGAAAAAAATACCCATACAGAAGATAGCTAAGATAATAATGCTACTCATTTCCATCAGTTCACTGAAAAGAAGCTCATACTGTTTGATCAGTTTGGCATGCTTAAATCTTGTAATCTGAGCAACTACTTTGAAGATAATAATACACGATATACTAGCCATTGTTAATTTTCTATTATCTTGTTTTGAAATTCTGTATCATTGTCTTTATTGTTCTTTCTTTTCTCTTAAAAAAAAAAGAGTGGTGTGAGGGTGTTCAGAGATGAGGCACATTATTTCCTAGAACACGGAACATTTATGTTTCTCCTGAGGGAGAGGAAGCTATGGGATCTGTGCATCTATAGGAAGTTCCACCTTGCCCACCCGCAGGAAGACAGTGGCCCATTTTACTGGTGAAAGGCAAGTGCCTAGGTTTTGGGGGTTTTTTTTAGATGGATGACCTAAGCGTTCTTTAAAAAAAATTTTTTTTTTTTTTGGTCTTTTTCTGAGACAGGGTCTTGCTATGCAGTTCAGGCTGGCCTTGAGCTCACTTTGTAGCCCAGGCTGGTCTCGAAATCCCGAAGATCCTCCTGCCTCAGCCTCCCTAGGAGCTGGGATTACAGGTGTGCACCATGACGCCTGGATCTGAATTTTCTTTCTCTCAGCATCAGATTCCAGCCCTTTACTTTCTCGACTAAGCTGTATGGGCTTATCCTTAAGAAATTTTGAGTATGATGCATCTGGAAAAAAAAAACAGCCTAAGGGATGCCAATATGGATAGCCTTGGGTAACTGACTGTGCCCTGGAAGTTGTAGTCTTCTTAAAGGTACAGTTTTTTGTTGTTGTTGTTTCTTTTTGTTTTGTTTTTCTTCCAGTACCAGGAATCGAACTTATGACCTTGCGGTTGCCAGGGAGGCACTTTGCCGCTGAGCTACATCCCCAGCCCCAAGGTACAGTTTTTAAAGTATGATTTTCTTTGTCTACTTTCTACCTATCTTGATTTTTTTCTCCCCTACCTCAAATACCCTCCTCTCCCCAACTACCACTGACTTTCAGCAAATCCCATGCCACCTCAAAAGTCTGTTTCCTAGGGCCTCTTCCACATGCTACTCTGCAAAGTGATGCAGACAGGCTCTGGTGGTGACAATGACCATGAAAAAAAAGGGAGGATTGTGGCTGCTTGGTGACTGGTAGTAAGAGACCGGATGAAAGGATACTCCAGAGGTGATTCCAGAGTTTGACCCAAAATAGGGAGGATAGAAAGAAGAGCAGGTCTGAAGGTTGGAGGGGAAGATGATCTTAGTTTGGACATACCAGATTTAAGATTAGAGTAACAAACACATTGTAGTGAAAATAAATGTCCAGGAAATGATTAAAAATGTGGACTTCATGCTGGGTGTGGTGGCACAGGCCTGTAATCCCAGCATTTAGGAGGCTGAGGCAGGAGGATTCCCATGATTTCAAGGCCAGCCTGGATTACAAAGTGAGTTCACAGGCAGCCTGAACTACATAGTGACCCCTGTCTCAAAACAAAACAAAACACAAAACAAAAGAAATGTGGACCTGGATTCTGGGAACCACTAGCAGGGCACTGGAGGGTATGAGAATGGATGTCACTGAATCTTCAGTGTGACTCTGGGTTACCGACTACTGATGTCCTCTGGCCTAGAATGTGATCTGGATGGCTGGGGAAAAAATGCTGATGCAAAGTCAGAGCAAAGAAAGTAAATTCTAGAACCAAACAAATGAAAACATGTGGCTGGTCTTTAGAGGTTTAGGGACCATCACAGGGGCAGACTTGAAGAAAGTGTTCATAAGAGATCCTGATTTCAAAGGTTGTCAGTGAAAAGTTGTAGCTTTGTCCCTGGTCTCTGCAACAGTTCCAGGCCCTGGCAGGAAGCCAGTCCACTTCCCCTCCAGAGTACCTGGGCTGCAAGTAGGAGTTTTCCTTCTCTGTTCTTTCTCCTCTCCTTTCAGGGATCTCTCATGACCTACAAAATTATCCTAGTGATCTTGTCACTGCCTACTTATTACCCATTCCCTCTCCTGCTCCCTGGAGTTCATATTTTGTTGTACTATGTTGCCAGGCGTGGTCGCACATGCCTATAATCCCAGCAATCAGGAAGCTGAGGCAAGAGGACCACCAAGAGTTTGAGGTCAGCCTGGGCAATATAGTGAGACCCTGTCCCCCTTTGTTGTTGTACAGTTGAGGTATGTCAAGTAAAAATGTTGGCTTTGAAATGCAATTGCAATTGGTTGCATTGCATTTAGTCCTATAATTAGGAGTCAGAACCTAAGAGCTGACATAAACATTTGTGTGATCTGAAATAAAGCAGGAGTGATGGTGGCATGGTGTGGTGACGACGGTATCGGCAGGCAGCCACAAATTTCCAAAGCGATTGGCAAGAACTGCTAACACTAAAAAAGGCCAAGTCCGTGGGACACTAGGACAGGATCTATTTTATAAGTTCTTCAGGATAGGGGATTTCCAAACTCTTGGCCATACTACGAAATGAACTCATTCATTCAGTCATCACAGACTGAGCAGGAACACACGAGCCCACAGTCAGGATACGCACAAGCACTGGCAAAAGGGAAAATTTATGTCTAATACCTCCCATCGGAGGACTGAATATCGGGTGGAAAAGGGGGGCATCAAGTGAATTGGGCCTTGCACATGCCAACTCAGCTTAAGCTTGTGAGAGTTTGAGCCAAGATCCACTGCTCCCCAAATGCAAACAATTTTGTTTTCCTTTCAGGTATAAAACTTCAGGAGCCAACCTCGCTGGATTCGAGGCCCAGTCCTCCTTTCCCCAGGTCTACTGCTTTTTCACTCCTAAGCAAACTCCTGGCCTCATGTCCTTTCCTTGAAAACGTCACACTAAGGACAGATGCTAAGCTCTGTAAGTACCCCTCCATAATCCCACTCCTCCATCATCTCCCTCCCCTCCCCCCCAGGAGACACTTTGCCTGTCTTCCTTCCCACATACTTTTCCATCCAAGCTGTTTTCAAGCCTTGTCAGTTCTTAGCTGAGTCTTGTTTGGTCCAGGAGACCATTTCTTATTTCAGTTCTTCCAGGCACTAGGCCAAATGACCCATTCAAGGCTGATAAAGACTTGGCTGACCTAGGCACAGGAAGTGCTGAGAGGTGAAGGACACTTCTGGGTACTTCTAAAATAAATCCTTTCCTTCTTGCCCCTGACCCTAGGACATCCTAGAGTCCACAGTTCGACATGGAATGTAGAAGCATGGCCAGGTTACCTTCTGGGCCTCCATTTCCTTCTTTATAAAATGATCTTGAAGGTGTCCTTCAGCTGTGATAGTAGGATACTGTACCTGGGTCAGCTGGTTTCAGCATAGCCTTGGAAATCTGAAGCATTTTCCAGGGATTTCTCTTGTGTAATCTGCAATCTAGAAAGGGTCAGCCTGGAGGTGCAGCTTATTTTAAAAAGGAGCTCTAGTTGTGATCAAACAGTAGACCTAAGTGTCTGGTTGGACTTGGGTCTGCTTCAAATTTCCAGGAAACATGAAGCACAATGATGTGTAATCCTTTAAGATCTAGATCCTTCACTGCCTCCAAGCAGAGCTGGGAACAGAGCAGTTCAGAGAAGGGATGAAAAGGGGACGTGTCTGGGTTTCCCCGTGTTACGTGGAGGGCTGCGGGCGCCTGGGATTGTAAATATGAAACTTCTGGGAAATGGTGGGGGCTCTAGGGAGAGCTGGAGGGAGGACAGGAGAACTATAAACCAAGCAGGATTTGGGTTTAGGAGCCGCCGTCCTGAACGGGGGATGGGGGATGATGGGACACAAACTGTGGATGGCTTCTGGCCAGGGAAGCCAACTTGGGATAGGGCAATCCCAGCTCACTGTGCACACACGAGACACGCTGGTCCCCTGTCCTTGCCGTTGGTGCCCCATGGCAGCTCCTGTAGTTTTCTTTGGCTCAGAGAAGCACAGGCCTCCCCTGGGCCCTGGCCCCCCTCTACCGCAAAGCAACTGGCTTCTATTACCCCTGACAGCCGAGCAACCGCCCAGCCCCCGGCCCCGTCTGGCTCCTCGCCGTTCCCTTTTATGGTGAAGCTCAGAGAAAGCAAGGAGTAAGGGGGAGAAGGTTCTCGCTGGGCAGAGGGTTGCAGGGCTCCAGGGTGCTACTTCCCTCACTGGAGACGGTCAGCAGCCTACCGCAGCCACCCCCTTTTTCTGACCCGAACCTGCGACCTTTCCTGCTTGTCTTGGCCTTTCCTCCCTTACCCCCTCCCTCACATCCGGCGGGGGGTGATTTCCCACTTGGCCTAGGTCCCGTGGTTTGGGTGTTGATGCGGGGAGGGTCCGCCTTTTCCGACTTCCAGCTCCACGAGTGGGGTGGAGGCAAGGATCCGCGCAAGGGAGGTACTGGTTAGGTCACAGTCAGGGTCGACCTACTTAGTCGAAGGATGGGGTCGGAAGGGCTGACCCGGCAAGAGGAGCCCCGGGAGCCCCAGCCCTGAGCCTTTTTGCGACGCCTTCCACTCTGTTCCCGCCGCCCGAGCCAGGGAGGGGACCGTGAGAGCAGGACTTAAAGGAAGCACCTGGCCGGGCCGGGCGGGAAGCGAAGGGTCGGCAGTAGTGCGGGGGGTCGGGGCAGGAAGGGGGCTGCGACCTGCGGTCAGACTGAGTCTCCCACCCGGCCCCACCGCCGCAGCCTAGCCAGTCCTTGGCTCCGCAGTGCGGCCACCACTGCCTCGCTAACTGCCTCGCGGGCACTGCCAGCTGCAGCCAGCTGCACCGCTCAGGGCTGAAGCACGTTCCCGCGGCCCCGCCCACTCCCCCTCGGCGGGACAACCTCCCGCGGCCAGTCCCGAGACCCCGCCCCTTGCGCGCGGCGCTAGAGCCGGCGAGATGATGAGGCTAGAGTGGCCATTCTGACGCGCCATCCGGCCGGAAGTGCCGGGTTGGACCCCGCTGGCGCTACGAAGTTCCGGCCTAGGTAGTTCAGCTAGTGCTTGTGTGTAGGCCGCGTTGGAGCCGCGGCGGAGCGCAGTGGAGCTGGTCAGGTGAGATGCAGACAGGCGCGGTCTCAGGAGCCAGCCCCGCGGTGGCTGGGCCGTGGGGGCGAGGAAGGGTCCTGGCCAAGGCAAGAAATGCGCCGTCGTGAGGTTCAGTCCCCCCCTTCTCCGCAGGATGATCACCGACGTGCAGCTCGCCATATTCGCCAACATGCTGGGCGTGTCGCTCTTCTTGCTTGTCGTTCTCTATCACTACGTGGCCGTCAACAATCCCAAGAAACAGGAATGAAAGTGGCGCTTTCTCCGCCCCAGGTAACGGTCTGGAGCTGTAGCGCCCGGCCCCGGATCGCTCAGTGGTGAGGCCGTGCCAGGGCCTGAAGGGTTCGAGATCTGAAACCAAATGATGTCGGGCCAAGCATGCTACTCCAGAACTGGGTCCTTTTATCCGCACATAGTGGGTTCCTTGCAGTGCCCTGCTCTTTCTCCCTGCCGGGATAGGGGCGGGTTTCCGATCCTCAGTCCCCATCCTTCTGGGGTTCCCCGAGGCAGACGCTCAAGTTGGGGTATGGTTACAAGGAGGTGCTGGCACCGGTAGGAACAAGGGTAGATACTGAGGTGCCATCCAAGGATGAGGCTTTGCGCTCTTCATTTAACTAGCCTCCGCTTTCCCGAGGTTATTGGGGTTTGTTTTTGTTTTTTCCTGAGACAGGGTCTCGCTGTGCATTTCAGGCTGGCCTTCAACTCACTTTGTAACCCAGGCTGGCCTCGAATTCACAGGAATCTTCCTGCCTCAGCCTGTCGAGTGCTGGGATTACAGGGGTGTGCTATCATCCCCGGCTCGGTTAAGGTTTTATTTTGGCAGATTTTTTTTTTTTTTTTGAGATGGGGTGAAAGATGTAGGCTTTTATTTTCATGCGAGGCCAAGGGTATTGTCTTAGGGGTTGGTACTGTAGACCCACAAGCAGAGGAGGGTGGGAGGGTCTTGGGAACCAACCTAAAGTGTGGGTCAGAAATGTAGAGGGAACGGGAAGATGGGAGTTGATTCCTGAAGGATTCCCCAGAGGAAAGCTACAGCATTTTCCTTACCTCAGGTCTTTCCCCCTCTTTTCTAGGGTTCCAGGACATAGTCTGAGGCCAGATGGAGGGTGTGAGGGGCCTTCACACTTCACTTCATCCCTTCTGCCCATCACAACATATAAAGCAACTACACCTGGAATTTTCCAAACAAGTTTTATTTCCTCAAAGTCTTCTTAACCTTATGGAACAAGAAGCTGCCACTGAATAGGTCCCAGTATGGGGGCTGCTTTCTTTTCTACTCCCCAATACAAAAATATATATATTTTTTTGTGGTCCCAAACTCTTGTGCTGTGGAGGGAGGGGAGGGGTAGTAAGTCCCTGTTTTGTACTGTGTCAAGGTGAAGCTCTGCAACGCTTCAGACAGTGTGGCTGGCATTCCAAGGAGTTGTGGTTGTCACACGGAGTCAGCAGCCGGTGGGGGGACTAGCATATTTTTCATTGTGTTCCCCACTTTGGGCATTAAGGTAATGGCATTTTCAGACTCGGGGAGAAACTGTGAGTGGGGGAGATTTAGGGACAAAACAAACCTCAGGTTGGCCCAAGGGACCACCGCTGTAACACATCCGGGGTGGGGGGTCAGATAGAGTACAGGAAATAGGAGAAAAGGCAGGGGCAGAGTGGGGCCGTGGGAGGCCAGCCTGAGGCAGCCTGCAACAGAGAAGAGAGAGGAATCAGGGTTGTGGAAACACTGCCCTCTTGTAGTCTCAGCCAGGGGCTGGGAGGTGAAAGAGGAAGACATGAAAATGGGTAAGGACAGGCAGGTTGGTTATTGCACAGAGGTCTGATGCTGGAATCAGCTAGCTAGCTCCTAGGCCTTAGGCCCTAATCTGAAGTTTTTTTTTTATCTTTCAAATGAAGACTGAGGCCATGATGGAATAAAAGTCAGGGACTGAATTTTTTTTTGTTTGTTTGTTTGTTTTTTTTGTTTTTCTCTGGTACCGGGAACCGAACTCACGACCTTGCGCTTGCCAGGCAGGCGCTTTTTGCCACTGAGCTAAATCCCCAGCCCCAGGGACTGAATTCTTGATGAAAGTACATTTAGTCAAAGGGAATAGGGAAGGAAGGAAATTATGCTGAATGGCAGAAATGGGGATTGATTCATGGAAGAAATGAGGGGTGGGGCAAAGGACTGGACCCTATTGCTCACCCTGGTGTAGCAGAGCGGGGTCCCGGCTCCGGCTCATTGCTCTCTCTGGTCCTGGGGACAGGGGATGTGGGGCCTGAAGAGCCTCTTATCCCTCTGCCAGCTGGCGGTGAGCCCCGGCCCAACCTGGGCCTAGCCTGTGTGGACAGGAGTAGGCTAAGAGGCTGACTTCTTCCATGAGCTTTTCTGCTCTTAGAGTTTCCACGCATAGGGCCTAGTATAGGAGTCAGCAGAGGTACCCAGACCTTGAATTTCTGGACACTGTCCTAGCTGAGAAGATGGGGAAGGATTACAGCCAGAGGGCTCCTGGATTCAGTTCATGACATGTCTTATGTAACTAGGGGTGGCAAAAGGATCCAGCATTTAGCCTTCGTGGATAGATCATGTCAGGGTCTGGCTGAGTAGAGAAGCGCTGTAGAAAGATGATGAAGGACTAGTAGATCCCTCAGAGCCTTCTAGGCCTCAGCCCCTGCCACAGCAGCTTAGATTTCACCCATCCAGTCAACTTCTGCGTATACCCAACTTTTTTTGTGTGCATACCCAACTTTTTAGCTAAACAAGCATAGGGATCAGGACTGAACTGGACTGGTGACAAGGCTATTCCTAGGAGCAGCAACCAGATGTTACCTGGGGAATCCGGGACCCCTCCTGGCGGAAACTCTCCTCGGGCAAGTCTGGGCAGAAAGAGAGGAGAAGCTAAGGGCAGGGGCAGGGAAAGCCAAAGCTAGCGGGCTGAGGTGCATCTGGCAGGGACAGTGGGGTTACAAGCAAGCAAGACATCCAGCTCATGGGTCTGCAGGTAGGACTGGGCAGGTACATACTCAGGCACCAGGGCAGCTCTCTGATACAGCTGAAAGTAGAAGCTGTAAAGCAGGGCTGAGCATCTTCCCTCCCACTCCCCAAGTGAACAGTGCCTTGCTGGGTTCTGCCACAATTGTTATGGTGGGAGCTGGGGAAGACCCAAATCTGTTACCTGCAGTCGAGACCTGATGCAGGGTATCCGAGCACTAGTTCCTAGCAGACTTTTCCCAATCACCATGACAGACTCTGGCTTGTCTTCCGAAGATAAGAGTGAACACCTGCTACCTAGAGAGCATAGGAAAATGATTATCAAGGTCGGGGCCATGGAGGAAGTTATTTCGACCTTGGCACTTTGGCAGAGCAGGCGATTGAGCATGGTTTTGTGCATGTTAAACCAACACTATACCACTGATCTATACCCCCAGGTCCCCATCTTGGCATTGCTGACATTGTGGATTAGATAATCTTGTAGAAGTTATGGTACAAGTTGTAGGATATTTAACTTTCTAGATGCTGGTACTTTTCCAGGCCCTTCCCCATTGTAACAACCAACCATGCCTCCAAGGTGTGGCCAAGTATTTCCTGGGGGGCAAAATCACCTCAGGGAGGCTCCATTCTGGTGTGGCAGATGGATAAGCAACTTTTGGCTAGAATCAGAACCTATCCAAGTATGAATGTGTAAACTTAACAGACCCTGGGTCTACTCTAGTCACATTTTAAGGCATGTAAGGATCAAGTCCATTCTACCCAAGACCTATACTGAAGGCTACCATTGAGAGTAGACAGATTGAGAGGGGCTGTGGGTAAGGGAGAAGTTACTAGACTACAGTCTTAGCAATCAATGCTATCCAGTCTTTTTTGTCTTTTTTTGAGCAGAGTCTCGCTATGCAGTTCAGGCTGGCCTTGAGCTCACTTTATAGCCCAGGCTGGTCTTGAACTCACGATGATCCTCTTGCCTCAGTCTCCTGAGTGCTGGCATTACAGATGTGTGCCACCATGCCCGGCTATTAAGTCCTTCCCACAGCTGGGTGTGTAATTTAAAAGTAGATAGCCTAAGTTTTGTGTGGATGACAGCATGACATTTGTAGTGACGACACGACAGACATTTTTTTCCATTTTCCATTATTGTCTAATGTTGCCCAGTTCCTGGAGTCAGGAACTTGAGTAAGTAGCAACTGGCAGACAGAAAAAAGTTTCAGGTTCCTTAGTTGTAAAAATGAAGATTAAGTTAGATAAAGTGTTTAAAGCCATGCCTGGCAGATAGTGTTTTTATTTTACAAACATTTCGTTAAATTGCAGCCTTCTGTACAAAGACACAGGTGTTAGGGGTGTAGGATACCTCAAGGGTAATGATGTGCCAAGTCTAGAGTGGCCTGCATTACATGAAGTCAAAAAGGAAGTCTCAGGTTAAGTGGCAGCATAGCCAAAGAGATTTCTTCAGGCCTAGCTGGGAGCCTAGTGTAAGCCCTGGGTGGTAGGGAAGGGAGGAGGTTGGCCAACCTAGATTTCAGGGGTAGTGGGTACAGACCTGATATGCTGAGTGAATTGGGTAGGAGGCAGGAGCCCAGACTTCGTGATGAGGCTGGGCCAGAACTAGCAGGGGTTGAGCTTGGGGCCAGGCTGCTTGCAGTAGAGCTATTGGTGAGTGGCTGCTGCCGCCGTCTCCTATCTTGGCTTCGGGGTTCTGAGTGGAAGGGACACAAGCAGGTAAAATGTCAAATAGGTGAAGACTGTGAATAGCCTTCACTGACATGTTAACTCTGTGAAATCTGAAGATGCCTGTTTTCAAGGTTGTCATTAGATCAGCTCCCCTCTTCTGAAATAACTAAGATGAGCTAACATCTAATATTCTAGTTATCCAGTTCTCAGCTTGCCTTCATCATACCAAATCATTCTCTTTTTAAAAAAAAAACTTTTTGGTCTTTTTGAGACAGGGTATGCAGTTCAGGCTGGCCTTGAGCTCACTTTGTAGCCCAGGCTGGTTTTGAACTTGCAACGATCCTCCTGCCTCAGCCTCCTGAGTGCTGGGAGTGCTGGGATTATAGGCGTGTGCCACCACTCCCAGCTTGTTTTGTCTTTTTAAAACAGCGTTTCACTATGCACTGCAGGCTGGCCTTGAACTCAGTAATCCTCCTGCCTCAGCCTCCCTAGTGCTGGGATTACAGGCGTGAGCCACCATGCCCGGCTCCAATTAATTCTTTTATCAAGAAGTTACTGAACTTGGCTTCCAGAACAATTTTCCAAGGTTCTCTTCTTATGTCTGACTGTTCCTCTGCCTCTTAAATGTCAGTGTTCCCCACCATTCTGTCCTTGTCCTCCTGCTCTGCTTACTTTTAAAATCCTAAATCTCTCTCTAGTCCTTTTCTCTTGAAATCTAGCCCTGTCTGTCCACTCGACATTTCTACCTGGTAGTCCCCCGTGACCAAACAGACTCATTCTCTCCCGCTGTTTCATTACTTCTTAGTGAAAACATATCTTCTAGAAATCATATTATCTTGAGTTTAATCAGATCTTTACAGTTCTACCTCTGCATCTGCATCTGTTCAGACACAGGTCTTTTTTTTGTTTTTGTTTTTTTTCCGGTACCCGGAATCGAACTCATGATCTTGCGCTTGCCAGGCAGGCGCTGTGCCACTGAGCTAAATCCCCAGCCCCCAGATGCAGGTCTTTAATTCAGACTTTGGAAAGTTTTCCTGCTTGTTTCCCTGGCTTTACTCTCTTCCTTCTAAACTATCCTTCTTTCACACAGACTCCACAAATTTTTCTGAAACAGGAACCTGGTAAAAAATCACTGTGGCTTAGGCATAGGACAATACTGAAGGTGTGGGCAGGGGTTACTCAGGATTGAAGCCAGGGCCTTCACACTGAGCTATATCCCTGGCCCCAGGTCTCTTTTTAAAATTTTTTATTTTGAAATAAGGTCTTGCTGAATTGCTGCTAGGTTGCCCAGGCTGGCCTGGAACGTGGGATCCTCCTGTTTTAGCCTATCAGGGTGCTGGGTTGTAGGCATGTATCACCACACCTGCCTTTTTGAGACAGCACCTCACTAATTTGCCTAGGCGGGCCTTGAAGTTACGCTCCTCCTCCCTCAGCCTCCCACAATGCTGGGGATCACAGCTGTGTGATACCCTATCCAGTTCGAAGGTCTGTTAAAGGATAAAGCCTACGCTTTTAAACACAGCACATGCAAAGCCCTGCCACGGTAGCCTCACTAGTACAAGTTCTGAAGGTGGGGCCCCCATGCAACACATGGGGAATGGATGGGTAGGAAGGTTTGCAGACTTGCCAGGGCCTTCCTCACCTTACCTTACTCCACCCCAAGAAATGGAAAGAGGAAAAAAAAAATGAGTGAAAGCCTTTAGAATATTGGTAGCTTCTAGTAATAAGCTGAATGTCACTCCACAAGATAGGAACAAAGCAAGTAAAGGATGTAAAAGTATTTAGAAAATGCATGAGCATGGAAAGAAGCTATGGCTATAACCGAGCAATCCTGCCCCTAATCAGAGTTTCAGGATAGGGGACAAAGTCTGATTTAGAAGTGAAGCTTGATTTGGAAAATACAGTAAGTCCCTGACTTATGAATGTTAGAGTTGTGAACTTTCAACAAGATACAAATGGACCTTGCATTACAAATATTCAAACAAGTGGACAAATCCTGGAAGTAGCTCACATGTCTGCCAGACATTGTCATTGTGCTGCTGTGTGCTTAGTGTACAGTGGTACAGTGCTCAGAGCCCAGGATATCTGGAAGCAAGAGAAAAAGTAGTGATGTGGAGGGGCCTACTAGGAAGCACAAAGCAGTATACATTGTATGTTTGTGTCAAAGGTATGTAAGACTCATTTTGTTGGACTTAAAAACATTCTTCTGGACCAGAACTGGTTCATAAGTTGGGGACTTACTGTATAAGGCATTTAAAGATAGAACTCTAATCAATCATCACTTGAAGGACTGCCTGAAGACCCGGGCAAGCTTCCCTGTAATTTATCAATGAGAATGCACAATCCAATTTATCATGTTTTGACTTCTGACCCCTAGTATAATCCAGGCTTACAGTCCCTGTTGAGACAAAAATGAAAAGGAGTGCCTGTTCCCTATTTCTTGGTTCTGAGTTATATAGAAACATCTTAAGGCTGAATGCATGCGATCTGCTTTGCTTCTAGAGATTATAAGATGGTATTTTATGTCAATCAGCTATAAGCTCCATTTTGGGGGTGTGAGAAGAGTCCTAGAGCTAAGGTCAGAGCTCAAGCCAGGCTGACCTCACTTTGTATGAATTAGAATGGGTGTTCTGAGGCCTGCAGGATCCTGAGAGTGAGTGTTTTCTTAAATGGAGTGCCCTCGGTGCCTCATCTGGCTCCTCCTATGCTTTCCCTCATCCTCAACCTGGCAGACCCTTCTTAGGCTCTGCTTGCACCTGCTTTGTATCTTGAAAGCTTGTGGTTTCTCCTTCACTGTATTAGCTATTCTCCAGTGACTTCCTCTTCCCTCACTGCCACAGCAGCTACTCATAGTATTTTCTGTGTGTCTGAAATAATGTTGGGAACTATGCTCCAAGTCTGGGCAGGTGATACAGTATGTTTTGCAGCTAGGGAAAGCTAGATAGAGACGATCTCAGTGTTATTGTCAAGGATGCTGGGAGTCAAGGGTTACTCAGAACCTTTCAGGTTCCTGTCCAGGAACTTCTGTTTGTACCAAGTTGGCTGTTCCTTGGCCTTCAGTATCGCAGCCTAGCTTCAGCACAAAACCTATTAGGCTAGTTCACTGAGTCTGCCTGAAGCTTCTGACTGGGCTACCTAGTTCTCTTCTGAAATTCCATGGATAGCCCAATGTCATGGTTGCTCTAGCTAATAAAGGAGAGTCAATTAAACCTTTAAATATGATATAATTTGTATAAATTACTGTAATTGTATACAATTTCTAAATTGTGTAACATTAGGAAATGTTATAAATTCACAATCAAAAAATCTTGTCAACTCACAATCTCAATTTTTTTAAGAGATGAAGTACGTTTTATTACTCATTGAGCAGTGACAGAATGTCATGATTTTTATATTAACCTGTGTCATCCCTCAAACAATCCCAATTTTGGGTTTTGAAACAAGCTGGTTTACAGTTGTGATTTCTGAGATGTAGTCTTTCTAGGTTGGACAACAAAATATGTCCAGATATGTGGAACCAGGAAATGTCACAGAGAACAGCATGGGACAGATAGTGCTGAACAAAAACATTTTCCTGAGGGTTGGGTGAAGATGCTGAATTCAACTGTCAGTCTCCATCACAGCCCCTATCCCAAATGCCAATCTCCCAGCCTGGCATCTTACAGGATGAAGCAGGAAAAAATCAGTGCCAGAAAATGCCCAGGGGAACACAGGAGTAGATTCTTGGAGCCTCACCTTTCAACTCCTTGCAGTACCCCTGTTTAATATCATTAGTAACTTCCAACTTGATCCTTGACTGTATAGATCCAGTTTACTCGTTCTTACAAATATTTATCCAAGTCCCTGGAGTGTTTCTGTATTCCAACCAACTCTTTTTTTCTGCCTCTAAGCTCGCTGACTGGGGGAAAACATGCTTTCTCCCTTGGTTTTAACTGGCTCCTGTATGTGGATGACTCTTTTTTTTTTTTTTTTTTTGGTTTTTGGTTTTTCTCCGGTACCGGGAACCGAACTCACGACCTTGCGCTTGCCAGGCAGGCGCTTTGCCGCTGAGCTAAATCCCCAGCCCCGAATTGATTGACTGGTTTTTATTTTTTTTATTTTTTATTTTTGATTTTTTGATTTTTCTCCGGTACCGGGAACCGAACTCACGACCTTGCGCTTGCTAGGCAGGCGCTTTTTGCCACTGAGCTAAATCCCCAGCCCTTGTGGATGACTCTTACGCCTCTCCTACCCCAGTTCCTTTTTCTCTGCCTGTGGGGTCTCTCCATTGGGACAGCCTAAGAAGCATCCTAACATGTCTACATAACACTTTGTATTCCAACAGTGTCTTAATGTCACCATGACTCTTTCCCTTAGCTTGCAGCCTTGAAGCCCTCTAGCTCCTTTCTCTTCCATCGTATCTGAATTCTGTCATTTCTATTTCTTATACTTTGATTTTAGTCCTTGTGAGGCTCTCGTCAGCTCATGCATAGATGGCTACAAGGCTTTCCTGTGCAGCATGTACAGTTCACAGTAATCTCTTTTGTTCTCATTGTTCTTAGAAGCACACAGTTGTTAGCACGTGACAGTTACCTCATCATCTTTTGTGTTTTAAGATACCTCAACTTCTCACCTCTCTTCAGCCAATTTACTGGACAAAATGCTACATATACATGCTTTAATCCTGCCTACCCAGGAGCTCTGTTCTTAATCCTGGTTACCATTTCTCGTGCTGGAATGTTTTTGTAAAACCATATGCTACTTGTATACAAAACCTGCTTCTCCGCTGAACATTTTGTTGGTTAATTATTGTGTTGATCTACAGTAGCCCTCAAGTGTCCTGAAATATTTATAATGTGTGTGCTTTTATGTTGTATTGACTGTCCTATTTCCTCTGTTAAGTTTCAAGTCAGTCAACCAGGACTCACTTAGTACTAAGGCAGTACATTTTCTGTTAGTTATCTGGGGACATAACAAATGGAATGTGTCTCTCACATCAAGCTCAACACAGAACCTGCCTCAGGAGGGGGCCAGGGAAGATGTCAATAAAATACTGATTAAAAACTTCCCAGACTCCTCCAGTAAAGACCTAGAAAAGACTCTTTACTATTTCCCTTTGTGGTCAGGAAAGGAGGATTTATAATGCTGAGGAAAGAACTGCCAGGAATTTCGAGTTATGAGCTAGGAGAAACTGACCAAAAGAGAAGGAAGGAAGGAAAATGAAACAGAAGAAGAACTTAATTCAGATTTAACATGGAAAATTTAGGTATACTGGAGCATGAAAAGTCATGAATTGAAATAACTGGCACTTAACAGCTGTGCAAACTTGGACAAGACACTTTTAAAGAATCTTAAAGTTTCTTCATTAGAAAAATGGGCTGGATGTGATGGTGCACACCTGTAATCCCAGCACTTGGGAGGCTGAGGCAGGAGGATCGCTATGTGTCGGGTTCAAGACCAGCCTGGGCCACACAGTTCAAGGCCAGCCTAAACTACACAGTGAGACCCTGTCTCAAAAAAAAAAAAAAAGAAAAACAGAAATACTATCCATCTCACAGGTCCTGTGAATAATAAGTGAAATTATTTTTTTTCGGTACCGGGAATTGAACTCACAACCTCGTGCTTGCCAGGCAGGCGCTATGCAACTGAGCTAAATTCCCAGCCCCAAGTGAAATTATTTATGTGTTATTATCTTATTCACTATTAAATGCTACTTACACATCAGGTATTATTTTTACTTTAATAACTGCCTTTCAAACACAATGCATAAAAGTGTCCTTTTCCAACAAACACTTTCAAAGAATGGGGTTTGGAATACAGACAGAATCAAGTTGAGTATCAGAGACAGAACATCTTAATAGAAAAGCTGCTAAGCACCGTTGCTCTCTGTAGCTTCTCTAGAACAGTCAGAATTATGGCCACTAACCCAGTGCATGTCACTGCTGTTCCAAAAGCTAGAGTACAGGCTAAGTATCAAAAATGCTAGTAACAATGGGTGCCACTAGAAGACCAGCAGAGCGCTCAGCTCCAGCTTACAGGCCTGTGTTCTTTAGCAAGAATGTACGTGGAAGGTACATATAGTACTGATCTTTGGTGTAGCATATTTCCAGAAGTGGCGCAACAGTCTCCGTTTCCAGCTTACTCTCAATTATTTCTTTTTCCTTCCTAAAGACTCATTTCTTGCTTTTTTTTTTCTGGTACTGGAAATTGAACTCAGGACCTCATGCTTGCCAGGCAGTCACTGCACCACTGAGCTAAATACCTGGCCCCCTCATTTCTTTCTGATACATATTTTTGATCCAGAATCTCTTTATCAGGCACACTCAAGGTACAGATGATGGACAGTTGAATACTGGTACCCACAGCCAGAAAATACCAGCCCACAGCCAGAAAAGGCTAGATTGTTGGTTTATGAGCTTAGAATATAATTTCCTTTTTCCTGGGAAAGGTGGAATCCTGGTACCACTTCCTGAATAAGTGCTGAAGCCAGAAGCAATTTTATCCCATAAAGGCCATGGACAGGATCCCTCATCCCACAGTGCTGAGGTTGGGATTGTGAACATTTCCTTCTACTGTTCCCAAGAAGACACACTGACACTGTCCTTGATGTCCTCCATGTCTGTATTTGGCACTGCTTCAGCTAGCATTTTTGCCTTGGAAACTTGCCCGGCTCTTAGCATGTGCTGAAGGCCAGATCCCCAGGACTCCCACTCACACCCACACAATACCACTCTGAGTCATGCCGCAGGGAACACCAAGGTCGCAGGAGAGGCTGCATATTCTGCTACAGACTAATTTTATTGATTCCCCCGTTGGTCCTAGGCCAAGTGTATGTCTTCAAGCTCTCACTTCCCCCAGCAATGCCCCAAACAACCGAACACCTGCTGCAAGGGCTCCCAGACTGGCTTACCTCTGACAGGGCCCAGCACCCGATGGCTGACTTTTTGGGTGCTAGTGCCCAGGCCTGGCAGCCCTGCAGGCCGACTGCCATGAAAAGGAAAGCTGGGGGAATTCTTCATCTGTGGAGAATTTTGTTGGCTGCTGTTGCTACCACCAGCACTTGTGCCAGTGCTAAAACTTCGTGCCCGACTTAAGGTGTTTTCAGAGCAGGAAATGGGCAGTCCGCTGCAAAGAAGCAGATGTCAGTTAACCCTGTGCCAGGAAGGGTATACCCCAAGGCTTTCTTCAGGGTCTGATGCCAGAAAGTTTTCACCTCTGGGGTAAAAAGGCATTGGGGACCCACTCAGGAAGAAAGGAGGGACTCGTGTCCACGGTTGAGGTATCTAACCTGGGTCGTAGCATGAGAATGTCAAGTACCAAGCAGCATTTTCTCCCAGTAAATTTCCCCCTTACGGCCTTGGCATCGGCCCTTGAACTCCCTCAGTCAGTCGTGCACATCTTTTACAAGCTGAGAACTGCCTACCCCTAGGACACAATAGATTAGATTCTGTGCAGGGCTCTGAAGCAAGGGATCCTCTGGTTGATTTTCACATTTAGAAATATGTCAGTCTGGGTGAAAGGGAAGAGAATCCCATTCTCAAAAAATGGAACTAATCTTACTAATTTTAATTTACCCAGAAAATACTTACCATATGGCACTTTTAAGAGGAGAAGAAATACCAGTCCCTTGGAACCCCTTGCTGTAGGGCCCTGCCCACACTCTCCCCTCTTTCCCTTTCATGCTGCTGGTCTTACTTGTTGCTTTTGGGTGGAGTTCGAGGGCCTCTCTTCTTGTTGACACCCACATTCACAGTGCTGCTTAGGCCACGACTGTTGCGCACATGTTTTAGCATCCAGGCCCTTAGGTTAGTGAGGCTGTTGTGCTCTGACAGCACAATTCGGGGCCATGGATTACATTCTGCCATATCCAGAGCTGCGATGGCCATAGCTCGTCCCACCTGTAAGGGAGTCCAGTTTAGCTTGGCATTTTGGTCCTCTAATCTGGGATGCCATGGTGGGGTGGATTATACAACACAGTGGATGGGAAGAAGAGGCCAGATCCCAAATTTGGTCACTGGGTATCCTAACTTTTGTGCTCATGATTATCTTGAGATTTATAGCCATTCTCCAAACCACTGCCCATTTGGGGGCCCTCATCCATTATAAGCAAGAGACAGACTGCTTTCTGGCTGGCACCATGAAAGAATTCTCAGCAGAAGGGATTTGGATCTCTTCAACTGCAACTCTTTCTACTCTTAGGTGTCCTAGGATAACTGTTCATGAAGACCACAATAAGGGGGGTGGTGCTTTTGAGCCTTGAAGTGAATAAACGGAATGAGAGAGACTTGCACAGAGAATCTGATTCAGGTGTGCTGGGGCAGGGGCCCTCAACCCCCAGGCCATAGACAGGTCTGTCTCCTGTTAAGAACCAGACCACACCACAGGTGAGCAGACAGGTGGGAAAACAAGCAAAGCTTCATGTATTTATAGCTGTGTCCCATTTCTCACATTACAGCCTGTGCTCCACCTCCTGTCACATCAGCACTGGCATTAGATTCTCAGGGGAAGGGGCTGGGGATTTAGCTCAGCGGCACAGCGCCTGCCTGGCAGGTGTAACGTCGTGAGTTCAATTCCTGGTACCGGAAAAAAACAAAACAAAAACAAAAACAATCCCTCCCCCCCCAAAAAAAGATTCTCAGGGGAGCATGAACCTTACTATGAACTGTACATGTGAGGGATCAAGGTGTCTAGGTTGCAAGCTCCTAATGAGAATCTAAAACCTGATCAAAGTGGAGTTGAGGCAATGATGCTAGCTCTGGGGAGAAGCTGCCAATACAGATTAACATTAGCAGAAGTTTGACTGCACAATAAATACAATGCCCTTGAACCATCCTAAAGCCACTCCCACCCTACCTCCAGCCCTTGGAAAAACTCTTCCACGCAACTGGCCTGTTGCCAAAAATGCTGGGGATCACCCTGCTAGGAGATTCTCTGTGGCTTAGGATCACAAACAGTGCCTGTTTGTCCTCTCAGTACCACTGCAGTCAGGGTAACCATAGTGCTGAGACAGCACAGTGGTGAGCATCTCTGCAGAGGACCTTAGAGTTGGGCAGCAGGAGTAAAGCCTTTTCCAGACTTTGGAAGTTCCCCACTTCCCACTTATTCCATGGGTCCATACCTGCTCAAATAGTTCCACAGTGTATCTGGAGGGAAAGGCCGGTGGGGGAGGGGGGCTGGCACGCCCATTGTCATGGCAGGCAGCAGGGATGCTGTTTACTGAGCGTCCAGTGTTGTAGTTGCATTCAAGTGTGTAGCTAAGACACAGAAACCTTTATCAGTGTCCTGCCTGAATGGGTATCAGGACACAACCACAGGAAACAGCTCAGATGGTCTAAGAAGGTAACCACTTGAAAAAAAAAGTGAACCCAAACAGAAAGCGCTATAATCCCCAGCAACTAGTAGCAACTGATCTTGGCACTACACTGTGTACTCAGGAAGTCCAGAAAAACTAGTGTCTAGGACTAGAGACAATCTTGTTGTTTGTGAGGCTCTTCTGGGAAGACTTGGGCAGTCCCAGCCCCTCAAACATTCTGGACTGAGTACTGTTTTCTTTAGGGAAATATTTCCTCAACCTTATCCCATTTTCCACCCAACCTGTGGATTATCCCTGAGGCTTTGTAGATTGCAACACGGCCGCTTCCCTCTTTGGACTGGCCATCTCTACGGTCTCGGGCATACATGTTCTTCTCTGAGAAATTGCAGCCCTGGAAGTCAAAGTGGGCTGAATTCAAGGAGATGAGCTTTGGATATAGCATGTTTTCCACCTGTTTGGGGGAGGAAAAAGGCAGCTCAGAAGGAGAAGCAGAAAGAAGGGACAAGGAGCAAGGAAGAGGGCAAACATGGGGCCATGTGACTCAATATTATAGCAGATACCATCACAACAATTAGCAATGATCAATGTTTCTTGAATTCTCACTGTTGGGCATCATTGCTAGGCATTAGGAAGGTTTAAGTCTACCTCCTTTTAAGTTTGGCTTCTTCCCTTCAGTAATGCCAAATTTCCTTCTCTCCTGCTTCCTTAAACTCTAGGAAACACTGCAATGCTGGCAGACTGATCCTCACTCAAAGTCATGATGTAACTGCTGAGACACAAGGCCCAGTGCCATCTCTTCTTGGCAGACCACTTCTGCAGAAGCCTTCTTGCTAAAATGCTACCTTCCCTCCCTGTCTGTGGTCTAACCCTTGTCTCCTAACCTGCAGCAGTTCCCACATGCACATGACATCTTTAGGATTCGTACCTGGGTGTTCTCATCACTAAAGCTGTTTCCATACATGAAGCAGCCCCTTTTGGAAGCATGTCCATGCAGGTCCACATAGTAAGCAACACCACTCTCTTTGGGGGGGATGGTGTCAGGGGCTGGCTCCTCAAGCTCAGTAGACTGTTGCGGCATAATCCACACACTGTTGGCTTTCTGTTCTGCTGGCTCTGTCTGGGTCCAAGTCCCAGGGTTAGCCCCATCAGATGACTGCCCAAGAGGAGCTTCACTGTGGAGATTGCTGGCTTTCTCAAGGTCAGAAAGGGGGACATCAGGAGGGAGACAGGAGCTAGGCTGGTGCTCAGGGGGACTCTGGGAGTTCAGGCGAGAGTGCACATGGTGGTAGAGAAGCACAGCCTTAGCCCCATAGATGGCGGGGTGCAGCGCAGCATCAGGCTTCAGGTATTGACGGTTCAGATTCACTCCACGTGAGTCTGTGCTATAGGAAAACAAGGACAGAAAAAGGATCTAGAGGCCTGGGCCAACACAAGATGCTAGGTGGCAAAGTCATTAGGAGACTGACTTGTCAATGAAAGGGTAAAGCTGTGCTAGGAAAAAAAGAATTGAGAACAGGATCCCTCCTTGACTGGCCTGCTGACACCCATACTGTCAGAGAATGGTTAAAAGTACAAGACAATTGGGAATACAGGAGAAGCAAGAAGGCTGACAATTTCACTGAGAAGTGGGGAATAGGGGGACTGGACAGTCCAGACAGGATGGGCAGCTGCTTACCGGTAATGACCCCGGACTACACCGTCAGGATTCAACATGGGAATCAGCTTAAACACAAAGAGGCGACGTAGGGTTTGGGCTCGAGGGTCATCAGGCCGAAGGATGAAGTCCAGAAAGCCATTGAAGACAAAACTAGATGGAGTCTCCCCAGGGTGTACTCTACTGCTTAAGAAGAATATCTGAGATAAAAAGAATGGACATTAGATCAGTTACGCTAGAGCTCTACTCTGACGAATACAGGGGCAGAGATAAGCAAGGTAGGAAGAGCCACTGGACTTCCAGCTGGCTGTGCACGTATGCAAGTGGAGCCCTTGCCTCAGGATGCAGGCTCAGCTCTTTCGGCCAACAAGTCGCAGCCTTCAGCTCTCCACAGTGGTTACAACTAGGGGAAGGGCACAGGACCACCTTCAGGGTACTTCCACTCACCCTTTTGCCTGTGAAACGGAATGGTCGAGGGGTGCTGGTGTCAGGAAATAGCTGCTCTAGACGGGGCTCTCGATCGTCTCGAAGCCCATGGCAGGAAGTGACTGTTAGCAGGTCTACACGAAGTCCATCCAGAGAATAGCAAAGGAGTTCCCGGTGGTAATAGATGGTGTCCAGGGGACTGCAGGGACAAAAATCATTGAGTCAAGAGAAGTCTTTCCTGTTCTAGCAAGAAGCAGGCCTCGTCACTAGCCCAGGGCTTATAAAATCTGGTCCTTTACCCTACTCTCTGGCACCCTATAATTCCTCATACTGTTACGTGAGGCTAGGGATTTGAGTGGGTTTGCACTGCCAGAATGCTAGAGTGTAGGATGGGATGCACTAGGTTTTTTTTTTTTTCCTGTTTGTGGCCCCACCCCCGCCACCCCCCAGGATAGATAACTGTGTAGACAGAAGAGTTGCCCTCAGGGGAGCAGATGCAGAGATGCTGGCTAAATTCTGGGTACCAGTGAGACTGGAGTTGTAAGAGACCTGAAGGAGGCAATGTCAAAGAAAAGTGTGGGTGGTGGCATACTGAGGTCAGGGTCACACAGAAACGAAGTTTCCAAAGTCCCACATTTTACACCGAAAAAAGATGGATGAAGTTTTGGTTCAGAGCTCTTAGGGCAAATTCCAGAAGTAGTGGAAGCACCTACTTATCTAGGATGGTGTACAGGAGTAAGAGTGGGGTTGGCACCTGCTATGAGTAGGGCAGTTCTCTGGGAAGCGCTGGTCTAACTGGTTTAGCAAATCCTGGCAGTCACTGTAGGAGAAGGGGTAGCAGAAGGCGAAGAAGGTGGTAGCCCCTCGGCCCTCCACGAAACGATGAACAAAGGACAACACAAACTGTGTCTCTGTCATCTGAGAAGCAGAAGAAAAAGGGGCGACATGCGGTCTGTCACAACTGAGCTCCTGGTGACACACCAGGAACAGACTTCACACCCTTTTTGTCTTTACCAACTTCCCTCCCTCCCATCCCCTTCACATGACAACCAGCTCTTCAGGCTTCTTAAGACAAGAGCTAGTCCTAGGCTCCAGCTAGTACTCAGGGGAAGCTGACCCCCAAACCTGGGGTCCTGCCTGCTTACTACTCTCTATCAAATACAAGTTTCTTGTTTACTTTTCTCTACTAGCACTTAAGCCTTTTTTTCTTCCTCATGGAGAACTTACCTCAAAAGTGGGCCGGTCTCGAATGCGTTCCCAGCGAGGCCGGCTGGGCAGTGTGCGAACAAAGGGGGCCATGCCCTGGGAATACAGCTTGCTCTGCTTGTTCATGTTCATAATGTTGATTTTGATGAGTTTCCCTGGAATTCCTCCCCGGACACTGAAGTAAAACCATGATCTGAAGGCCAGAGGAGGAGAAACAGACATTATGTATGGGAGGGCTGGAGGAAGGATTCATGAGACAGCTGGAGCAAGCCAAACTGGCAAAGGGCTATTTAACAAGACAAGGGTTTGGGAGAGGAAAGGAACTGCCTGGGTATGAACAGGTAAGTCAATGGGCAAACATGCAGTGGGTCTGGGTACCGCACGTTCCCTCTTCTCCCACCTTCCATTTCTTTCCTCCTACCTGTTTCCGTTCTCGAATTCCGTCTCAGCACAGTCTGGCCGGGTCCACACGTTGAATTCATAGTCAGGGAAAGAAGTGACGCCACCAGTGGGGGCTGCTGCAGCAGCTCCACCTCCTTCCCCATCACTAGACACAGATTCCACCTTCTCCACATGGGCTAGGTTCCCTGAATCAAACCGAGAACTGAACAGCAGTCCCCCACAGCGCAGCTCCATCACGGGACTGGGAAAGCATCCTTTTGCACCAGTCTGGCCCTGAGAGCTAGGGAAAAATGAGGGATGCGTAGGGAGAAAGGGAGAGAAAAATGAAACAAGATTTTTAGGTCTAACTGACAGGCATTCTTAGGGAATGCCCTACAAAGCAAAAGATTTTTTCCTTGGAGAACATGGAAAAAGCCTTCCAGCCAGGCCAAGAGAAAGCACATCCATACCTTACACTTAGCGTCACCACTGACCTAAAAGGACCCGTCTTACCACACAGCAGCTATTCCCAAATCAAATACCCAAAGGCTTAATTAACAGTGCTGAAAACACTGGCTCTCAGCCTTTTGCAGCCCAAAAAGTAGGGACTAGAGAGGTCAATTTCCCAAACCTAGGAAGGATAACCACAGCACAGGACCATATTTAGAAATGGAGCACTGTGGATCCGTGTCCTAGGTTGGCTATGCACTCTCCAGCGCAGAGCAAAAGACTGTTTTAATGTTTGAATGAATAGCTTCCTTTACTCCTGTGTGCTCACAAGCACTGACAGAATTCTACTGTTGCCTCTGAGTCCTGGAAGAGCTAGTTCCTTTCTTTTGAGTGGGGCGGGGAAAAAAGAGGAGGAGACGCACCAATCCTATGTAAACTATGGAAGAAAGCTAGAAAGGCATGGCCTTTGCTCATCTGTTTCTGCAGCTCTACTCGAGCTGGGGCATGGGTCTGTTTCCATCCCCCAGCCTCCAGACGCTGGAGCTCTGCAAAAGCTACCCTGGTGGCTGTGGGTAATAGGTGTCCTGAGCACTCCTAAAAGAGCTGGACAGTCGAGTCTTCGGAGTAGGGAGTGGCTTCTCGTCCCCCACCGGTGGAGGACCCTCACACCCGGGCTTGCCCTGAGCAGCGCGGGGTTTGGAGGCACTGGAGGGGCCGACAGACACACTGGAGGGGCTAGGAAGACCCGGTCTAAGGTCGGAGGTGAGGCCACGGCCAAGGCGGCCAGCCGGCCTGCCGGGGATGGGGGGCGTCGAGAAGGGCTCGGGCAGAAGGGGGCTGCGAGAAGGGGGCGGGGCCGGCGGGGCCGCGGTCCACGCAAAGCCCCTCACCTCTCTCTGGACCGGCGCTCCCGCTCCCTCTCCCGCTAGCGAGGCGGCACCTCGGGCCCCGGCACCCGGGTCCTCCACCCAGGACCCAAACAAAACCCTAGCGCTGCGGTGCCGGGACCCCGCTCTGCCAGGAAACAAGAAGTCTCTCGCCTATTGGCCACGGCCGCAGCTGGCTACCCGCCCAGTAAAACGCCCTACCATTGGTCAGCGCCGTTCGCGCACGTTAGTGCTACCTGCGCCGCGGCCGTTGGGGTCTTGCCCATGAGCCTCCAGCCCTGCGCGCTCCAGCCGCGTCTGCTCTCTAGGCGGATAACGGCCTCTTCCCGGAGGCGGGAAAGGCCAAGTGGCCAAGTGGAACGCCAGGAAAGGCTCACCTACGAATAAAAAGAAATCGCGTGTGAGGCTGGTTACCGCCCACCGACCCCTCACTCCGCTGTATAATGTTGAACACACCCACCCTGGTGTCGGGGGTCTCCCTGCCGCTGTTAGGTGCCCACTGGTGGGATAGGAAAAAACCAAGTGGAGGATGCGGGCATCGATCCCGCTACCTCTCGCATGCTAAGCGAGCGCTCTACCATTTGAGCTAATCCCCCAGCTGCTACTCTGCCCTTTCTCTTTCCTTTACGGGTTGTTCCGGGCTGGCCGGAAACTAGCTCCATCATAATTCAGGCTATTTAGAAGTACAGTGAGACCACGGGCAAGATTTTCAAAAGCAGGTATATAATAATTACATATAAATAATAAACCTCACCTCACTTTATAAGTCAACCTATTGCAGCTGATGCACACTGTGTAGCGTGCGCGGAATACTTGGTGCATATATAGTTTACCCAACATGGGCGGCACTCGCGCAGTGTTGCAGCCGACCCTCCAAAGCTTTTGTGGTCAAGGGTAATTGATCTGAGGTAATGCCAAAAAGACATACGAAGTCCTTCGAGCCGGAATCGAACCAGCGACCTAAGGATTACTACAGTCAATCAGCTACAGTCCTCCGCTCTACCAACTGAGCTATCGAAGGCCTCGATACTGTTCTCTTTTGCTGGCTCCCTCTAATGTTTACCAAAGCCGCATTTTTTTTCTGGTATTCCACGCAAAAAGGCCCGATGTGGCCGGAGCCTTGCAAGCCTCACAAAGCAGAAGCTGGAGGCAAAAAAATGGGAAGAGACGCTGCCCGAAGCGCGCTTCCCAGGATACAGGAGAAACTGCCAAATGTACTTTCTTGACATTTTCTTGCTTTTTACAAAATGCTACCAGTGCCCACTGGCACCTCCTCCAGGGTCGTAAATGCCCAGCCGGTCCCGGGCCTGAGCTTCTGGGCGGGGCGTTTCCTGCTGCGTACAACGCGGGGCGCGGGGTGGTCTGCACCACCCCGCGGATTCCGCCTGCGCTCCTCGAGTGCACGCAAAGTGCGTGGCCTCGTGGTGTGAGTATTATAGGCAGCTAAATTAACATACAGTCACAAAGGGACTGGGCTCTCAAGGAAGTCAACGAAGAACGAAGACATCAGAATTGTGGCTGAAGGCGCATCTGAAGAAGGCCAGGTCTCAAAGATGCAACAGCCAGGCCCACAAACCTTCCAAAGGAATAAGCAGTAATTTGAGATTATACTCTAATTAGCACCACCTAGTCCGGGAAGTCCAGCTTGGTATCAGTTACCCAGCTGGGTGACCAGAGCATCCAGACCCATCCCTTTCCCAAAATGCCTTTTTTCTTTCCTTGTACTCTCCCTGTGCCACTCGCTTCCTTACTGAATCCAAGTTAGCTAAGCATCTGTATTTGCAATCCTATAGGTTGACTGTAGTTTGACCCACGTTGTACCCTCATTGTGACTTTGTGTATAAATTACCCCTGCCAAAGGGCCTCCTCAGTGATAACTCACTGGAGACCCCTCCTGTCTCTCAGGAGCTATTCCTAATCCTAGATAAACCTTTCCCACTCTTGACCTCCTTTGTTCTTGAAATTCATTCTTTTATTTCAGGGGACAAGAACTTGACATAGCTGACATCTATTAGGTTGGGAGTTGTAGTTCTCCTATATTGATGTGACCTCTTGCATATTTTGAGACTCATTCTTTCACTTAGCATGTTTTGAGACTCATCCAAGTTGTAGCACATATTAGTACCTTACTCCTTTTTATGGCTGCATAATATTCCACCACATGGACATGCTATTATTAGTTTATCCATTTATCTATTGCGGACATTTGGGTTCTTTCCATCTCTTATAAATGATGGTGCTATGAACTCTTGTGTTCCACTTCTCTTGTGTATACCAAGGAGTGGAATTTTGGACATGGGATAAAAATTATATCTTTGAATTTTGAGGGACTGCCAAACTTTTCCATGTGGCTGTACCATTTTAGATTCCCACTAGGATGGTAGGTACAAGGGCTCCAATTTTGCCATATCTTTGGCAACACTAATGTTCTTTAAAAATAATTATAGGCAATATTTTAGTAAGTTGAACTCAGTTAATTATTAGCATTTTCTTATGTCATTAAAGATATTTTGAAATTACCATTTCAATAGCCATTTTTTCATCTTTTGGCTTCACCACAATTTATTGCAATATTCATCTTGTTGGATATTTAGTTTATATCCGAATTTTCAATATAAATATACTATCATGAGCCAGGCGTGGTAGCCCACACCTGTAATCCCAGCACTCAGGAGACTGAGGTAGGAGGATCGTTAGGAGTTCGAGGTCAGCCTGGGCTACAAAGTGAGCTCAAGGCCAGCCTGAACCGCATAGCGAGACCCTGTATCAAAAAGACAAATATA